TGGTTAGGACTCCTCATGTTCACTGCCGAAGGCCTGGGTTCAGTCCCTGATAGGGAACTGAAATTCAACAAGCTGAGCAGGGCGGCCAAAATTAAAAAAAAAAAAAACACAAGAGTAAGAGGAAAGCTCTTTATTTTTTTATTACCAAATGTTTAAATTTAATTCCCTATAATTTTTTAAGTTACATATTCATCACAATTTATGAAATAATACAAAGATATATAAAGAAAAATCTGTATTAATAGTGTGTGATATATGTGTATTAAATATTTACTAATGAAAGACTCCAGTATAGTGTTTGTATCAGTACCTATTTATATGCTAAGCACTATAGTTAGGTGATGGAGAAACAAGGAAAGCTCCCGTGCCTTTGAGAAGCTTGCCGTTTACAGGAAGAGTCAGATGTATAAATAAATGTAAGATACTGTACAAAATATGGACAAAGAATTATAGGAAGGACTTTTGATGATGGCAGAATAAGTACTTTAGGGAAAAAAAAAACCATTGAGGACAAGTAGAAAGCTAAGCAGAATATAAAACATCTGGAAGGCATTATAGGGCAAAAAAGAGGATAAAGATTTATGGAGCCCAGATTCAGGAAAGTTAAAAATTCACAAAGGTGAGCATTGCCTTTGAAAGCACTTTTCCCATAGAAGCTTCTGCTGATTTCAGAAGAAGCAGCTTAGATAATGAAGCTAGTTGAGTAGAACACTTGACAGACTCTTGAATCATGGTTGGAGTTCAGACGTCCTCCAAGACGAGATACTGATAAATTACCCATACCTAATGTTAGGTACATCTAGATATAAGGGTATAAAAGATACATCTAGATATAAGGGTATAAAAGAAGTAGACAGGCCCTTATAGGAACAGAAGTCCAGCGTCAAATCATCAATTCCTGAAATTAGGGACATCATGAATTGATAGTAGCCTTAGCAGCCTGCCTGAACCAAATTAGAGAATAGTTCAGAAAACAATATCCAGATACATATTACTATATATAAAATAGATAAACAACAAGGACCTATTGTATAGCACAGGGAACTAATGTATAGCACAGGGAACTATATTCAATATCTTGTAATAACCTAAAATAGAAAAGAATCTGAAAAAGAATATACATATTCACTTTTATATGTGTGTGTGTGTATGTATATAAATAAATATATCTGAATCACTATGCTGTACCCCTGCAACTAACACAACATTGTAAATCAACTACATTTCAATTTTTTAAAAAAATGAAAAGAAACAATATCCAGAATGAAACACATCTGGAGAAGGAGAACATCATCCAGAATCTCAAATTACTGCTACAATAATAATTGCTGACGCACAGCAAAATCAAATAGCCCGACCCAGGAGGACATTATGTAACATAAATGGCAGCTAAGTTAACATCTGGATAAACAAATTCATAGGGACTCTAGATATTGGAGTTAGCAGAAACTTTAAATTATCTTTAATATGTTGAGGGCAATAAAAGAGAAGATGAAGAATTTTGGCAGAGAATTGGAAACTATTAAAAGAGGAAAGGAATTTCTAGAACAAAAAATACAGTAACCAAAATTGAGAGCTCGTTGGATTTAGAAACAGATTAGACACCATTACATAGAGAATTAGTGACTTAGAGCAGTACTGCTCGAAGTGTGTTCTGTAGCTGCTGAGAGTCTATGGGCTGGCTGCTATTTTTTGAACTATGTAGTAACAGTCCACAACAAGATAGGAAATTTGTGTCAGAATGTAGAACAAATTGACCCTGAGCATACCATTTAGTTCAACTGGCATTTTCTTTTCTTTTCTTTTAAATTTTTATTGGAGTATAGTTGTTTACAATGTTGTGTTAGTTTCAGGTGTACAGCAAAGTGAATCAGTTATACATATAAATATATCCACTCTTTTTTAGATTCTTTTCCCATATAGGCTATTACAGAGTACTGAATAGAGTTCCCTGTGCTGTACAGTAGGGTCCTTATTAGTTATCTATTTTATATATAGTAGTGTGTATATGTCAATCCCAATCTTCCAGTTTATCTCTCCACCACTCAAGTGGCATTTTCTTTTTTGTTTTTTTTGTTTTTTTTTTTTTTTGCGGTACGTGGGCCTCTCACCGTTGTGGCCTCTCCCGTTGCAGAGCACAGGCTCCGGACGCGCAGGCTCAGTGGCCGTGGCTCACGGGCCTAGCCGCTCCGCGGCATGTGGGATCTTCCCGGACCGGGGCACGAACCCATGTCCCCTGCATCGGCAGGCAGACTCTCAACCACTGCGCCACCAGGGAAGCCCTCAAGTGGCATTTTCTTGATAGCAAAACTTTCTCAGTGAAGAAAGAATTTGTTGATTTACATTATAGTGCAAGTTCCTTATCTTGGAGATTGGCCCCTTGAGTAGCAGTGACCTAAAGAATAGTTGGAGCGCTTCCCTGGTGGCACAGTGGTTAAGAATCCGCCTGCCAATGCAGGGGACACGGGTTCGAACCCTGGTCCGGGAAGATCCCACATGCCACAGAGCAACAGCCCGTGTGCCACAACTACTGAGCCTGCGCTCTAGAGCCCGCGATCCACAACTGCTGAACCCACGTGCCACAACTACTGAAGCCTGCGTGCCTAGAGCCTGTGCTCCACAACAAGAGAAGCCACCTCAATGAGGAGCCCGTGCACTGCAATGAAGAGTAGCCCCCGCTCTCAGCAACTAGAGAAAGCCGCGTGCAGCAATGAAGACCCAACGCAGACAAAAATAAATAAAATTAAAATAAAAAAGAAAAGAATAGTTGGGAAGAAAATATCTAGAAGGAAGTACAAAGAGACAAAAGGACAGGAAAATACAGAAAGGAAGGGAAGAGATTTAGAGGATGAAGCAAGGTATATTTTACAGATAGAAAAGATAAATAGTCCTTTAACACTTGAAGCAGTGCTTCTCAAAATATTTGTGATGGTGGCCAATACTTTTTATAAAATGCAGTAAAAATATCATAGCAGTGTCAAATTACTTAAACACAATCTCGTTTTCTGTACTTACTAGAGATTGGTATAAAATGGTTCATAAAATAGCACTGGTCCACAGACCACATTTTAAGTAGCATGATACTAAAGAAATTAAATTCATTCTTCCCAGTAGGAGAATTCCAAGCCCATATGATTCACTGGTAAACTCTAGAAACCTTTAAGGAAGAAATAATTAACTTTTCTAGAATATAGAAAAGAGTGAAAGGCTCACCCAACTCTTTTTAAGAGGCCAGTTCAACCTTGATGTCCAAACCTGACAAAGACATTTACAATAAAAGCATATTAGGACAGTCTCATTCATGAACATAGATATAAAAAAATCTTCAATAAAATATTGGCAAACCAAATTCAGAAATATATTGTGGCCTACTTAATTCTACTTCAGGAATGCAGGTTGGCTTTAACATTTGAAAATTAATGTAATTCATCATAGACAGTAAATGAAAAAATTCATATAATCATCTTGATAGGTGCTAAGGAATCGTTTGATAAAATTCAGCATTCATTCTGAATGGTAAAAAAAATTTTATCGAAAAGAAATAGAAAAGGAACTACTAAATCTACAACAAACCTACAACAAACATGATAATTATTGGTGACATCTTGAAAATTTTCCCTTTGAGATTAGAAATGAGACTAGGATACCTTCTATCATCCCTTCCATTCAAGATTGTACTGCAGGTCCTAGATGCAATACCTTAATAATCAAAGCTGTAAGAATTGGAAAAAGGAAGAAATAACCTATCGTTATTCGCATACAATATGAGTGCAGATCCTTAAGATTCTAGAAAGTACAAAAGAAGAATCCAAAATAAGGTTGTTAGATATAAGGACCATATTTTTTTAATCAATTATTTCTATATAACAGCAAAAAAGTGAAATATTAGAAAGACACCGTTTACAATAGCATCAAAAAAATCAAATATATAGAAATAAATCTAAAGAAAGACCTCACAGTAAACTGTAAAACATTGAGACTCAGTGATTATTTTATTTTTTTAATAAATTAATTTATTTTTGGCTGTGTTAGGTCGATTGCTGCACATAGGCTTTCTCTAGTTGCGTGAGCAGGGGCTATTCTTTGTTGCATTGTGCACGCAGGCTTCTCACTGATGTGGCTTCTCATTACAGAGCATAAACTCTAGGTACGCGGGCTTCAGTAGTTGTGGTGCATGGGCTCAGTAGTTGTGGCTTGCGGCCTCTAGAGCGCAGGCTCAGTAGTTGTGGCTCACAGGCTTAGTTGCTCTGTGGCATGCAGGATCTTCCCGAACCAGGGCACGAACCCCTGTCCCCTGCATTGGCAGGTGGATTCTTAACCACTTCACCACCAGGGAAGTCCCTCAGTGGTTATTTTAAAAAAACATTATTAAGAAAAATCTTTAAAAGACATAAGTAAATGGAGGATATGTTATATTGAGTTGAAACTCTCAATATAATGGAGATGTCGACTACCTCAAATTAATCTACGAATTTAATGTAATCCCAAACCAGAATCTCAATAGGGCTTTTGTGGGGAGAACAGTGTAGAACTTCAAACTCTGATTCTAAAATATATATGGATATTCAAAGGGTCAAATAGCCAAGACACTCTTGAAGATGAAGAATAGTGTAGGAAGATTTGTCTTATTGGATATTAAGGCCTATTATAAAACTACAGTAATTAAGATAGTGCCATTTAGGTGTAAGGATGGACAGATAACGAGTTATAACTAACCCTGAGGAAATGGACATGTGTCTTAAAAAGAAACCAAAGGTTGAAGATACTACTAATAATGCAGCATAAGTAAACAAGAATATAGAGTTCAGTCAGCTATTTTATCTTATCCATTTTGTCTTAACACAGATTCTAAGCATCTGGATATTAGAGACTATTCCTTACTTTAAGACATCTTTAGTAGGATCTGTCATAACACTAGGTATATACAAAGTGTTTAATAGTTACTTTGAATGAATTTATTTTGTGCTTAAGTTACAACTTTGAATCCTTTTTGGTTTTAGATCTGCTGATTTGGGTCCTACTTTATTGACAAGACCTGGACAACCAACACTTACCAGAGTGCCACCGCCTATTCTTCCAAGGCCATCCCAGCAGACAGGAAGCAGTAATGTGAACACTTTCAGACCTGCTTACAGTTCATTTTCTTCTGGATATGGTGCCTATGGAAATTCATTTTATGGAAGCTATAGCCCTTATAGTTATGGGTATAATGGGTTGGGCTATAACCGCCTTCGTATAGATGATCTTCCACCTAGTAGATTTGTTCAGCAAGCTGAAGAAAGCAGCAGAGGTGCATTTCAGTCCATTGAAAGTATTGTGCATGCATTTGCCTCTGTCAGCATGATGATGGATGCTACCTTTTCAGCTGTCTATAACAGTTTCAGGGCTGTATTGGATGTAGCAAACCACTTTTCCCGATTAAAAATACACTTCACAAAAGTATTTTCAGCTTTTGCATTAGTTAGGACTATAAGGTATCTTTACAGACGGTTACAGTGGATGATAGGTTTAAGAAGAGACTCTGAGAATGAGGACCTGTGGGCAGAAAGTGAAGGAACTGTGGCTTGCCTTGGTGCTGAGGACAGAGCAACTAACTCAGCAAAATCTTGGCCAATATTCTTGTTCTTTGCTGTTATCCTTGGTGGTCCTTACCTCATCTGGAAACTGCTGTCTACTCACAGTGACGAAGTAACAGGTAAGAGTAATAAAATGGGTTCAAAAACCATATAACAATCTCAAATTTCAAGAATAGGTTAAATTAGCTTTCTTTATGCATTTGTATTTAATATTTTGATCCAGTTATATTTTCAGTTAAGAACTTCAAAACTGGAAGAGGAACATGTAGCAAAAACAGGCTTCTTGATTTATTCTTTGTTACTTCAGTTTAACAGCACACATTACTTAACTACTGTTCACAAGTCACTGAACTTGATGCTGTGGAAGATACAAAGATAACGCAGGGCATATTCCCTTTATCTTTCTAAAACTTACTGGAAGAGAGGTGGGTGAGACACATAAATAGGTAACTGTAATGAGGCATAAAGAGTGTAAGTAGTACAACAGTTGGGGAGAAACATAAGACTTATTGAGCCTTTTTTTATTATTATTATTTTCTTGAATTCTATTTTAATTATTTTTTATACAGCAGGTTCTTATTACTCATCCATTTTATACACATCAGTGTATACATGTCAATCCCAATCTCCCAATCCATCATACCACCACCACCACCACCACCCTCCACTGCTTTACCCCCTTGGTGTCCATACGTCTGTTCTCTACATCTGTGTCTCAATTTCTGTCCTGCAAACTGGTTCATCTGTACCATTTTTCTAGGTTCCACATATATGTGTTAATGTACGATATTTGTTTTTCTCTTTTGGACATACTTCACTCTGAATGACAGTCTCTAGATTCATCCACGTCTCTACAAATGACCTAATTTCGTTCCTTTTTATGGCTGAGTAATATTCCATTGCATATATGTACCACATCTTCTTTATCGTTGATGGGCATTTAGGTTGCTTCCATGACCTGGCTATTGTAAATAGCACAGCAATGAACATTAGGGTACATGTTTCTTTTTGAATTATGGTTTTCTCTGGGTATAGACCCATTAGTGAGATTGCTGGGTCATATGGTAATTCTATTTTTACTTTTTTAAAGGAACCTCCATACTGTTCTCCATAGTGGCTGTATCAATTTACATTCCCACCAACAGTGCAAGAGGGTTCCCTTTTCTCCACACCCTCTCCAGCATTTGTTGTTTGTAGATTTTCTGATGATGCCCATTCTAACTGGTGTGAGGTGATACCTCATTGTAGTTTTGATTTGCATTTCTCTAATAATTAGTGTTATTGAGCACCTTTTCATGTGCCTCTTGGCCATCTGTATGTCCTCTTTGGAGAAATGTCTATTTAGGTCTTCTGCCCATTTTTGAATTGGGTTGTTTTTATTTTAATATTGAGTTGCATGAGCTGTTTATATATTTTGGAGATTAATCCTTTGTCCATTGATTCATTTGCAAATATTGTCTCCCATTCTGAGGGTAGTCTTTTCGTCTTGTTTGTAGTTTCCTTTGCTTTGCAAAAGCTTTTAAGTTTCATTACGTCCCATTTGTTTATTTTTGTTTTTATTTCCATTACTCTAGGAAGTGTATTAAAAAAGATCTAGCCATGATTTATGTCAAAGAGTGTTCTTCCTATGTTTTCCTCTAAGAGTTTTATAGTGTCTGGTCTTACATTTAGGTCTCTAATCCATTTTGAGTTTATTTTTGTGTATGGTGTTCGGTAGTATTCTAATTTCATTCTTTTACATGTAGCTGTCCACTTTTCCCAGCACCACTTATTGAAGAGACTGTCTTTTCTCCATTGTATATCCTTGCCTCCTTTGTCATAGATTAGTTGACCATAGGTGTATGGGTTTATCTCTGGGCTCTCTATCGTGTTCCATTGATCTATATTTCTGTTTTTGTGCCAGTACCATATTGTCTTGATTACTGTAGCTTTGTAGTATAGTCTCAAGTCAGGGAGTCTGATTCCTCGAGCTCCGTTTTTTTCCCTCAAGACTGCTTTGGCTATTCGGGGCTTTTGTGTCTCCATACAAATTTTAAGATTTTTTGTTCTAGTTCTGTAAAAACTGCCATTGGTAATTTGGTAGGGATTGCATTGAATCTGTAGATTGCTTTGGGTAGTATAGTCATTTTCACAATATTGATTCTTCCAATCCAAGAACATTGAATATCTGTCCATCTGTTGGTATCATCTTTAATTTCTTTCAACAGTGTCTTATAGTTTTCTGCATACAGGTCTTTTGTCTCCCTAGGTAGGTTTATTCCTAGGTATTTTATTCTTTTTGTTGCAATGGTAAATGGGAGTGTTTCCTTAATTTCTCTTTCAGATTTTTCATCATTAGTGTATAGGAATGCAAGAGATTTCTGTGCATTAATTTTGTATCCTGCAACTTTACCAGAATCATTGATTATCTCTAGTAGTTTTCTGGTGGCATCTTTAGGATTCTCTATGTATAGTATCATGTCATCTGCAAACAGTGACAGTTTTACTTCTTCTTTTCCAATTTGTATTCCTTTTCTTTCTTTTTCTTCTCTGATTGCCGTGGCTAGGACTTCCAAAACTGTTGACTACTAGTAGTGAGAGTGGACATCCTTGTCTTGTTCCTGATCTTAGAGGAAATGCTTTCAGTTTTTCACCATTGAGAATGATGTTTGCTGTGGGTTTGTCATAAATGGCCTTTATTATGTTGAGGTAGGTTCCCTCTATGCCCACTTTCTGGAGAGTTTTTATCATAAATGGTGTTGAATTTTGTCAAAAGCTTTTTCTGCATCTATTGAGATGATCATATGGTTTTTCTTCTTCAATTTGTTAATATGGTGTATCACATTGATTGATTTGCATATATTGAAGAATCCTTGCATTCCTGGGATAAATCCCACTTGATCATGGTGTATGATCCTTTTAATGTATTGTTGCATTCTATTTTGTTGAGGATTTTTGCATCTATATGTATCAGTGTTATTGGTGTATAATTTTCTTTTTTTGTAGTATCTTTGTCTGGTTTTGGTATCAGGGTGATGGTGGCCTCATAGAACGAGTTTGGGAGTGTTCCTTCCTGTGCAGTTTTTTGGAAGAGTTTGAGAAGGATGGGTGTTAGCTCTTCTCTAAATATTTGATAGAATACACCTGTGAAGCCATCTGTCCTGGACTTTTGTTTGTTGGAAGATTTTTAATCACAGTTTCAATTTCATTACTTGTGTTTGGTCTGTTCATATTTTCTATTTCTTCCTGATTCAGTCTTGGAAGGTTATACCTTTCTAAGAATTTGTCCATTTCTTCCAGGTTGTCCATTTTATTGGCATAGAGTTGCTTGTAGTAATCTCTTATAATCCTTGGTATTTCTGCAGTGTCAGTTGTGATTTCTCCTCTTTCATTTCTAATTTTATTGATTTGAGTCCTCTCCCTCTTTTTCTTGATGAGTCTGGCTAATGGTTTATCAATTTTGTTTATCTTCTCAAAGAACCAGCTTTTAGTTTTGTTGATGTTTGCTATTGTTTTCTTTGTTTCTATTTCATTTACTTCTGCTCTGATCTTTATGATTTCTTTTCTTCTGCTAACTTTGGATTTTGTTTGTTCTTTTTTCTCTAGTTCCTTTAGGTGTAATGTTAGATTGTTTATTTGAGATTTTTCTTGTTTCTTGAGGTAGGCTTGTATAGCTATAAACTTCCCCCTTAGAACTGCTTTTGCTGCATCCCATAGGTTTTGGATTGTCGTGTTTTCACTGTCATTTGTCTCTAGGTATTTTTTGATTTCCTCTTTGATTTCTTCAGTGATCTCTTGGTTATTTAGTAACGTATTGTTTAGCCTCCATGTGTTTGTGCTTTTTACGTTTTTTTCCCTGTAATTGATTTCTAATCTCATAGCGTTGTGGTCAGAAAAGATGTTTGATATGATTTCAATTTTCTTAAATTTACTGAGGCTTGATTTGTGACCCAAGATGTGATCTATCCTGGAGAATGTTCCGTGCACACTTGAGAAGAAAGTGTAATCTGCTGTTTTTGGATGGAATGTCCTATAAATATCTATTAAATATATCTGGTCTATTGTGTCGTTTAAAGCTTGGGTTTCCTTATTAATTTTCTGTTTGGATGATCTGTCCATTGGTATAAGTGAGGTGTTAAAGTCCCCCACTATTATTGTGTTACTGTTGATTTCCTCTTTTATAGCTGTTAGCAGTTGCCTTATATATTGAGGTGCTCCTACATTGGGTGCATATATATTTATAATTGTTTTATCTTCTTTTTGTATGATCCCTTGATCATTATGTAGTGTCCTTCCTTGCCTCTTGTAACATTCTTTTTTTTAAAGTCTATTTTATCTGATATGAGTGTTGCTACTCCAGCTTTCTTTTGATTTCCATTTGCATGGAATATCTTTTTCCATCCCCTCACTTTCAGTCTGTATGTGTCCCTAGGTCTGAAGTGGGTCTCTTGTAGACAGTATATATATATATATATATATGGGTATTGTTTTTGTATCCATTCAGCAAGCCTGTGTCTTTTGGTTGGAGCATTTAATCCATTCACGTTTAAGGTAATTATCGATATGTATGTTCTTATTACCATTTTCTTAATTGTTTTGTTTTTGTTTTTGTAGGTCCTTTTCTTCTCTTGTGTTTCCCACTTAGAGAAGTTCCTTTAGCATTTGTTGTGTAGCTGGTTTGGTGGTGCTGAATTCTCTTAGCTTTTGCTTGTCTGTAAAGCTTTTGATTTCTCCATCAAATCTGAATGAGATCCTTGCTGGGTAGAGTAATCTTGGTTTTAGGTTCTTCCCTTTCATCACTTTAAGTATATCATGCCACTCCCTTCTGGCTTGTAGAGTTTCTGCTGAGAAATCAGGTGTTAACCTTATGGGAGTTCCCTTGTATGTTATTTGTTGTTTTTCCCTCGCTGCTTTCAATAATTTTTCTATGTCTTTAATTTTTGCCAGTTTGATTACTATGTGTCTCCGTGTTTTTCTCCTTGGGTTTATCCTGTATGGGACTCTCTGTGCTTCCTGGACTTGGGTGGCTATTTCTTTTCCCATGTTAGGGAAGTTTTCGACTATAATCTCTTCAGATATTTTCTTGGGTCCTTTCTCTCTCTCTTCTCCTTCTGGGACCCCTATACTGGGAATGTTATTG